TTTTTTTTTTTTTTTTTTTAGTTGAATATATACGTTTAGACCAGTTAAACTATACTCATGCAGCTACCTTTCTTTTTCTCATCTTTCTTCTCCTCTTTTTCCAGTGACCTTTGGAGTCGTCGTTGTCTCCTTTCCTCGTCAAAGAAAGCTAGTTACCGTCCCGTCGTCTACGATCAATCACCAACATTCGAGTGCCAAATCTTAAGCTCCCTTTGCTCAAGTTCTGAAATACAGGGAGTCTTCTTCTCCTTGTGTGAGGTCTAAGAGATGAAGTGTAACAACCTAGATCCACCGCTAGTAGATGTTGTCATCTTTGGGCTTTCCCTTTCGGGTTTTCCCTCAAGGCTTTAAAACACGTCTGTTAGGGGAAGGTTTCCACACCCTTTTAAATGGTTATTTATTCTCCTCCCCAATCAACGTGGGAATCAACGTGGGACATCACATGAAGCTTCCCTATTCCAATTTCAAAGCGACTGGCAACGTGACGACAACAGGCAGTAGCAAAGATAGCGAAGGTCCCTGGAAAAGGAGAAGGAAAAAGAATGAAATGCTCACATTAGTTTGATCTCAAAAATTAATGTAAAATTAATATAATTGAGTGAAGTCAACAAGCTAAATTAGCAATCATTAGCAATAAACATTTGATTACCAAGTCAAAACTTATCATTCATCATCTGTCAGATCAAGCAACAAAACTAGCAGATAAGTTCACTATTTAAATTAAACAAATTCACAACATATATATATATATATATATAGCCCACATCCTTTTATTCCACACGTATTTGTGAAGATTAAAGCTAATGCGGCCATTGACTCCACAAAGTCTACGGCTTCCCATGTGCCCATTCTTTTGTAGTCTTGAGTAAAACTTGGGACGTACAGAAAAAGAAAAGAAAAAAACTTATGCAGTCAAGTTTGTACCTTCAATTCCTATACCAATTGAGTTGCCTCCAATGGTGGAATGGCATTCATTGGACAAACATGGAGATGGTTTTCAATCCTATGAAAGGAAAACATTCAAATGAATATGAATAATACCTCTCCTGCTGCAAGCTGATCAAACCGTATGAATTTCTGTTGTTCACCGCTAAGTTCTTGACAACTGAGAGAAGATAGAAACTTTCCATTATCATCAAGGTTAAAAATTTAATGGAAATATTGTTAGTAAATTTCAGAAGCTCAAATTCCGCAGAGGTCAATTCATAATTGAATGCAAATGATTCTCTACCATAGAACTTGATTCAAATGCATTCATTGGTCTGTCTGTCTTTTTCCCTGATATTTCCCATTATAAAAAAATGTCAAAATCAATGGAAATGGAGGCCCTCTCTAACCTTTCCTACTTAGCAGCTCATAATGAAGAAATTAAGCTTCATCTCTGTATAATATGATTGTCATGATATATAATTTAGTACGAGTTTTAAACTATTCTGCAAAACTAGGCTTACAAAACAACCCAAAACTCGTTGCTAAACGACAGGGTTCCAGTTTCAATTCTTAAATTAATAAAACTATACATATGATTGATGGTAAGTTATTATAGTACCTGGTCAACTTGACTATGTAACGTGCCTTGCATGTCATAGAGACCAGCAGTGGATATTGACCAAGCTGGGTTAAGAGAATCCCTATATTGTTGACTTCCTATTATGATACATTCAACGTAAATGCCTCAAGGCGCTCATAAAGTCGGCTTCTTTCTCAATTCTCATAAACTGATGCAGCAGAAAACAGACCCAAGAAGATGAAGATAATGGAATTATCAGGGTTCCATTCCCTCTTTGGTTTTCTGCTATGTGGTCTAACTCTTCTATTGCTTGTTCAAGCTCAGGATCAGTCAGGTAACAAAGATATCTCTATTTTTAATCTATCTTTCTTCTAATCATCTTTAGAGTTGCATAAAAGAGTTGTAATTTATATTGTTTTCTTGTATGTTTTTCAGGCTTCATTAGTTTAGACTGTGGAACACCAGAGAGTACAAGTTACACCGAAACGACAACCAAGATCAACTACGTTTCTGATGCACCCTTCATAAACAGTGGTGTAAGTGGAAGTGTAGCTTCGATTTATGGAGATACCTACCAAAGGCAAATGAGGAAACTTAGAAGCTTCCCCGAAGGAATCAGAAATTGTTACAATGTAAGCGTTAAAAAGGATACCAAATACTTGATTCGAGCAAATTTCTTGTACGGAAACTACGATGGCCTGAACTTGCTACCGCAGTTTGACCTCTATATTGGGAATAGCTTATGGGAAACGATAAACTTCACCAAAGCTGGCATTGACACTTTCAAAGATCTCATACATGTTACCTCCTCAAAGGAAGTTCACATCTGTCTGATCAATACAGGAAATGGGGTACCATTCATCTCAGCCTTGGAATTTAGACCTTTACTCAACATTACTTATCAAACAGTGTCAGGATCCTTATCACTGTATACTCGATTGGACATTGGTTCCACAAACAATCAAACATACAGGTATTTAAGCACTAACTTCGCAAACAAATTTACTGTTAATCAATAGAGCATATGCTTTAACAAGTAAGATGGTGCGATAATATTTTGTTTCTTGTTTACTCTCTCTTAAGGTTCCCTTTTGATGTTTATGATCGCCTCTGGTCACCATTTAACTTCAATGAGTGGACACAAGTGAGCACCAATCAAACTGTAGATGCTACTGATCACAACAATCACCAACCGCCCTCCGTTGTCATGAAAACTGCTTCCACCCCAATAAATGCAAGCAAACCACTGGAAATTTGGTGGGATACCGTAGATTCATCTCAATATTATGTATTTATCCACTTTGCTGAAGTTGTGGAGCTTAGGGGCAACCAGAGTAGAGGATTCAATATCATGCACAATGGGGATCATTTTTATGGACCTCTAATTCCAAGTTATTTATCCACACTGACCGTTTACAGTCGAGAACAATTGGATGCAGCAGATAGACATACATTTTCTTTAGTTCCAATTGAGAATGCAACACTTCCTCCAATCATTAATGCTTTCGAGATATATACAGTGAAGGATATATCAGAGTTAGCATCAGATAAAGGAGATGGTGGGTATCCTTCTTCAGATGCACTTTGTGATTTACTTTGTCAGAGTTAATGAGTTTTAATTCGTCTACTTCTTTGGATAAATAGTGGATGCAATTACCAATATCAAGTCAACCTATGGGGTAAAGAAGGATTGGCAAGGAGATCCATGTGTGCCGATGAGATACCCCTGGAGTGGGTTAAATTGTAGCAATGAAGCTGCACCAAGAATCACATCCTTGTAAGTTCAAGCCTTTTATGAAGCTTGATTTTTTCTTAAATGTATGAATCAAATGAATTCATGAGAAGGGTGAATTTTGTGAACAGGAACTTGTCTACAAGTGGACTGAATGGTGAAATATCTTCTTACATATCCAGTCTAACAATGTTGCAAACTTTGTAAGTGTCTTTCCAATAAGCTGGATTTGTTCGGAAAATAAATACTAATCTACTGCATTTGTTTCTTTAGGGACTTGTCAAACAATAATTTGACAGGGAAGGTGCCTGATTTCCTGTCTAGTTTGTTGCACCTCAAAATTCTGTAAGTTATATGGAAAAACAAATATGAAGCTCAACTTGAGCCAGAACACAATTGAGATATTGTTGTCCCTATTTGCAGGAACCTAGGTAACAATAACCTCTCAGGTCCAATACCGGCTGATCTTTTGAAAAGATCCAATGATGGCTCACTATCATTAAGGTCAGTTTGATGAAGAGAAAAGAACTGAAATTATAATTTTGCATCTTTGACTTGTTATGCTTCATATATTATGGCATTTTTCCTGGAAACTGAAAATTTTCCAAAGTCACAATCTAAGTCGAACTTATCTAGCCATGAATGGTACCGATTTCAGTGTGGGAGGAAACCAAAATCTCGATGCATGTACATCAGATCCATGTCCAAAGAATGAAAAGAAAAACAACATCATCATTCCAATTGTAGCATCAATTGGCGGAGTCCTAGTTATCGTCACAATTGGTGCAATAACCTTTTGGATCATCAAATCTCGAAAGAAACCACAAGGTAAAAATGTTGTCTCAGTAGTGGATAAGTCAGAAACCAACAGTCAATTTGGTAATTCATTGGAGGTGAGAAGACAACAATTTACATATTCTGAGGTGGTGAAAATGACCAACAATTTCACAAGAGTTCTGGGTAAAGGAGGTTTTGGGGAGGTCTATTATGGTGTCATTGACGACATTCAAGTGGCAGTGAAGATGTTGTCTTTGTCATCATCACAAGGGTATCGGCAATTTCAAGCAGAGGCATGCTACCCTGAATCCATAATTTCAATTCTGAGTTTACTAATTCGCTAACAACTTTACATTAAACTTAACATGATAACTCCAAAAATGCAGGTTACCCTTCTTATGAGAGTTCACCATAGAAACTTGACAAGCCTTGTTGGATATTTGAATGAAGGAAACCACCTGGGCCTCATTTACGAGTACATGGCCAATGGAGATTTAGCAGAACACCTTTCAGGTAAACTCAATGATAATGAGCTTCACAATACTACTTACAAGATTAATCTAAATCTAACCCTTTTGTAAAGACAGAGAGTTTATCTTTCTTTTGTTTTTGTTTCACTTGTAAGCAGAGAGGAGTCCAAGTATCCTAAGCTGGGAAGATAGACTTCGAATAGCAATGGATGCAGCTCAAGGTGAAAAAACTAGACCAATTAGATCAGTAATTTAATCATTTCTACAAACAAATGTATCTCCCTAAACAAAGTAAAAAGCTAACATTTTGATTATACGAAAATTACAGGACTGGAGTACCTGCATTACGGTTGTAAGCCACCAATAGTTCACAGAGATGTGAAAACAACAAACATCTTGTTGACAGATAATTTCCAAGGCAAACTTGCCGATTTCGGTCTTTCCAAAAGCTTTCCCATAGATGGCAACACCCACATGTCCACGGTTGTCGCTGGCACACCTGGTTACCTCGATCCAGAGTAAGTACTAGTTTTAAGCGTCATCAATTTCATTGCTTTGTTTTTCTTTTATTTTCCCTGATAAACAACCAAATTTATTGAGAAAAATAAAATAGAATACCAAGGACGTACAAAAAAGCAACCAACAAAAGAAGTTCAAATAACTACAAAGAAAAGATTCAATCCAAAAGAATAATCCCTAGTTGATAACTACAAAAAGACTTAGCTACAGGAGTCACAACGAAGCATTAAACCAAACAACCCCCCACAACTCCCCCTCAGACCTGCAGCTCCTCAAAAAAAGCCTATAATTCCCCTCAAACCATATTTCCCAAAGAATGCCAAAGAAACAAGTATACCCAAGTAGTTTTACCCTTCTCCCTAAAAGGACATTCAACAAAATCTCCCCGATTATATCCCAGCAAACCCTGCTCCAACATGATTCCTTTTCTTAACATGCAATTTAAACAAAACCCCAATCAATTGCAACAAAAACTCGACTAAACAGATTTAATGGCTTTTCTCTCAGGTACTACGTATCAAACAGACTAACAGAGAAAAGCGATGTATACAGCTTTGGGATAGCTCTATTAGAGATAATCAGTTGCAAACCAGTAATATCAAGAACCGGAGTTACACCACATATAGCTAAATGGGCTACATCTTTGCTGGCACAAGGAGATATTCAGAGCATTGTTGATCCAAGATTACAAGGTCAATATGACACTAACTCTGTTTGGAAGACGGCGGAAGTGGCAATGGCTTGTGTAGCGGCAAATTCCAGTAGAAGGCCAACGATGAACGACGTTGTGGCAGAACTCAAAGATTGCTTAGCCATGGAATTGAGTCGAAAGATTGAGAATCGTTCGCTTGTTTCAATAAATTCCATCCAATCGAGGCCCATCTCCACTGTGGGGTTCAGTGGTACCGATTCTGGTCCCATGGCGAGGTGAATATCGAATTCTCCAGCTTGAAAATATCGATCATTTCTCTAAGGAGATTTGTACTGTATTTGTTATCAAACCATCTTTGTAACTTTTTTTTGGCAGTCGCACAACAAAACTTGGTGATTGTTTTCTTTTCTTCGTACTTCCTAAAACTGGTTGATGTATTTTGATTTTGAATAAGAGCTTAATTTATTTCAAAAAAATTTAGAATTTTATTCTTATAATCTACCCATTTAATTTTTAAATTTTTTGAATTTGTCAAGGATATACAAAATTAAAAACTTTAAAAACCTTTTAAATGTTAGAACTTACAAACCAAATATCTTAGAAGTCATTTATTAAACTTACTACTTAACATCTTTTTAGTTTAAGAATTGCCAAATTTGAGGATCGAACCATAAACTTTAGTGAATGATCTGTGCATTATCTATTGAGTTTGGTTCATCAACAAATAACTTGATATATTCACGTTGTTAAGTTAGACAACTTAGAAATGAATTTGTAAAAATGGTATGGGTATGGAAGAGGCATGGGGATCAAGATTGCATAATGTTGCCAACAACATTAATGTCGTTAGTGTCGTTGACATTCTTTCAGTCAATTGTTAGACCAGTCAACAATGAGCAAATCAAACCTAACCACTTGGGTTTTTCTTCTGTACAATTATAAGAACGTAAGCCAACTTTTTATAATCACTCTGAATGCACGTATTTATTTATTTTAATCACTTTTGATGTAATGAAACTCATATATACTATATGTAATCATGCATCAATGAAGCGTCTTGTTCATCTTTATTTCAATAAGTTAGTTCTAACACTTTGTTAGTTTTAATACTTGTTTCTCACTCCTGTTCTCTTTTGTTGTTTCTCCCTTTTTAATACTTGTTTCTCACTCCTTTTCTCTCTCTCGTTGTTGCTCCTTTTCTCGTTTTTCCCCTCTTTCCTTTCCCTCTTTCTTCTCGTAACGACAACATTTAATTCCACTTCGTTGTCATTTCAAATCTAAGCAAAGAGGAGGGATGGCTACAGACATCTAGAGGTAAAAGAAAAGTTGCTACCGGATTCCATTGCCTAAATCCACTGCGATTATCTTAGGACTTATTCTTTTGACTCTATAACTCAAAATGTGAAATTTTTGTTGAAGGGTCACTTATAGATATATGTATGAATAGATACATGTGTTGAAGGGTTACTTGTAGATATATGTATGAATACATGAGTTGAAGGGTCACTTATACATACATGTATAAAGACATGTATGAATCGATACACGTAGATTTATGTTCATAATTAATTAGGTGCATGACTTTGGATAATGAATGATATTGGGGAATGCCCTAAATTACCTATATATGGACCCCAAAAGGATTCATCTTATATGCTAATGAACTAAATGATTTTATTTTTTCAGATACTTGTCAAATAATAGCTTATCAGGAAAAATACCTGGTTTCTTGGCCAATATGACAAGCCTCAAGTCATGTAAGATGCTTGGATTGGACAAATTTTTGTGGGGAAATCTGATAGACCACAGAAATATGATATATTTCTGACCCATTGCAGAAAATTAGACAAAAACCACCTCACAGGTCCACTTCCACCTGAACTCCTAAAAAGAGTGAACAATGAATTCGCTTAAATTAAGGTCTGTTCTAATTGGAAATATCCCACAGTATTTTTTACACTGAAAATTATCAAATACTTGAAAAAAAAAACATTGGAAAATATCTTGCATTCAAAAAAAAAAAAAAATCAAACCAGTCTTCTAATGAAATTTTTTTATGACAGTGTGTGTGAGCCTCAGACTCATGCGCAGAGGAGGAGATGAAAAGTTTTGTTGTGCCGGTAGTAGTATCAGTTGGTGGATTGCTTATCATCCTCACAATGGGAGCAGTCATTTTTTGGATCATGAAATAAAGGAACAAGCCACAAGGTCAACCTATAGTCCCAGTCCCACAGGTGAAAGATACCAAATCCAGCAATGACGCATTGGAGGTAAGAAGACACAATTCACCTACTCTAAGATAGTGAGAATGACAGATAATTTTGATCTACATAAATCGTCCCAGTATATCATACTAAATCTATCTGTGCAGGTGAAACTTCTCATGAGAGTTTACCATGGAAACTTGACAAACCTTGTTGGGTATTTGAATGAAAAAGACCACTTTGGACTTATTTACGAGTATATGACCAAGGGTACCTTAGCTAACAAGTTCTTTCAGGTAACTTTTGGGACAAACTATATACCATATACGTGCTACACATGCTCAGCTAATTAGTTAGAAGACTTTTCTCACATGTTCAGCTAACTAGTTAGAAGACTTTTCTCACATGTTAATTCAAGGAGACCCTTTCAATCAATTAATATACGCACACAGAAAGTTCAGTTCTCTTAACCTGGGAAGATAGACTTCAGAGAGGAATAATGCAGCACAAGGTGAGAAAATTCAACAAAATTATAGAATTTACTCGGTCCTTTCAAACAAATAGATTGTTAGAAACGTTCCTTTTGCAGCGTAAAAATGAAATACTAAGCAAATCACGACAAATACAGAGCTGTTCCAGAGATGTCAAAACAACAAACATCTTACTGACAGACAATTTCCAAGCCAAACTTACAGATTTCGGGCTCTCCAAGAGTTTCCAATGATGGTAGCAAGACTCGCATGTCCACAATGGTGGCTGCCACTCCTGGTTACTTCGACCTAGAGTAAGCATCAGTTTCAGTGTCAACCATGAATCAAACCAATTTTCTAAGGAACCAAAAACTCCGTGAATGGCAAAAACCACCAAAAGAAAACAGATACAGATTAAATACAATTCAAATCTTACCTTACATCGCCCTAGTATCTCGAACAGATGAAATACAGTTCTTAATCGTTCTTAATCGTTCTTGATGAAAGGCGCCATTAACTAATTCCTTCTCTAAATTTCTGGTAGCTCCCGAAGTATCGTGTTTATCACGAGATGATTTCAACACTCTCGATAATAAAATTGAAAAATATCAAAATGTAAGGGACTAATTGAAATTTAGTTAATATTAGATATCAAATTAAAAATAATATAAATTAATAATTAACCCGTATTTCAATTTTAACCTATGATTCTATTCGGAAATTCAAGATTTCGAATCCAAATTCAGCACATCACCGTCTCATCATCTATGCGACACAGAATATATTTTTTTATAGTAGTTTTTATTTTTGTCGTGCAAATAAAGTTAGTTATAAGGTAATGTTGAACTATGTTAGGTGTGGACGAAAATTTTCTTTGTTTGAATGATTATAGATTGATTTGTGTTTATTTGTAAATATTTAATATATTTTATTAAGATGGTATTGAATAATTATGATTTATGAAAAAATTAATAAAAAAATAAAAATTAATTTTTGCAACAACTCGACAACCCAACTCGAAAATAGAGAGCTGGGTTACCAATCTAACAAACCCAAAATTATCTTCAACCCAACTCGACCATGTACACCCCTAACTTATTCTTCACATCTATGATCGAGCCAATGAAAAAGAAGGTGCATCTTGTTGGTATAAGTAGTAAGTTTCAATTATTCTAAGTTATTTTTAGCCATCTCATCTTTAAGATCACTCTCGTTCAGATGTGATCCTGATTCATTCATGTACCTCTGATTTACTCAGCGTCACGCAAACTCCAATCAAATCCATTCCGAGTCGAATTCAAAATCTTGTAATAAAAACAAACAAACCTATCAATTTATCAAAACATTAGAACATTTCCCTTTTACTTTGCTTATGATATTTTTTTAAGAAAGCAACTTGGGGCTGCAAATGGAATATAAAAAAAAACAAGTCAATACAAAAGCAAAGAAATGGTCAACTCAATTCCATTGACTTGGACTGTTTCAAACGCACAAAACCTTCATTTTCTGCAACTTTCTCCTGCAAATTCCATCCTTTTCTTCCCATCAAAGACGTTCATTACTGATATGGACAAATAACAGTGTTTTTGGATAGCAATTATGCAGAACATGCAGTTCAATAGATACCCATTCTTTGCCTTGTGGCTATCTCCTTCAGCTTGTGGCTATCACCTCCAAGAGAATATCTAATTTATAGCACCAAATCCTCAAAAGGGTGCTCTGACATGGCTACACTTTTCCAAATTTCTGCATTTTTGGCTCTCCTTGTTCTTATCCAAGCCGATGATCCATCAGGTTCACTTCATTTCTTTCAAAAATTTCCCATTTCAAGCTCTTAAAACGAAGAATTATGATGATTTTCTTGCCCTTTACTGCAGGTTTCATGAGTATTGATTGTGGGTTACCAGCAAATTCAAGCTATATTGATGCTAAAACAGGGCTCAAATATGTCTCTGATGCTGAGTTCATCGATACCGGTGAAATCAAGAACATATCAGCTGAATTCAAGAACAAAACATCAGAGAATCAATTCAGGAATCTAAGAAGCTTTCCTGTCGGAATCAGAAACTGTTACACCATAAGAACACCAAAGAGTGGGAGGAATAGGTACTTGATCCGAGTGAGTTTCATGCATGGAAACTATGATGGTGAAGCACGGCCAACATTTGATCTAGCTCTTGGAGTTGGTTATTGGGATTCAGTTGTTATAAAGAATGGTGATACAAGAGTAACAAAAGAACTGATACATGTCCCTCTGTTGGATTATGTGCAAATATGTCTGATAGATGTTGGAAAAGGAGTGCCTTTTATATCAGCAATAGAGATTAGGACTCTGGATAATAGCACTTATGTAGCGGAATCTGGATCCTTGATGCTTCACGAGCGGCTAGACTATGGTCTAGCAACCAACCGAGCCATAAGGTGAGGCTCGTTCTCCTCGTTGTTTAGTGACTGATTGAAATTGTTTGTGTTGGGTTATGGAGTCTGATGCTTATTTATAGCTTTACTGGTAAATGACATATGAAATAAATAGTTACACTTAGTAGTGCTTTGAAAATGTACTTTTTGCATTATTGGTATTCTCTCTTACTGTACATACCTGAAGTCGTCAATATAAATCTTTAGCCAATATTTCTCCTTGCGGGGTGGATACCGGGCGGTGTGCTAGTGAGGACGTTGGTCCTCAAGGAGGTGGATTTTGAGATCTCACATCGGTTGGAGAGGGGAACGAAGCATTTCTTTATAAGGATGTGGAAACCTCTCTCTTCTCCTTGTGGAGGGGAATTCGGGCGGTGTGACAGTGAGGACGTTAGGCCCCCAAGATTGTGAGATCCCACAATGGCTGGAGAGGGGAACGAAGCGTTCTTTATAAGGGTGTAGAAACCTCTCTCTTCTCCTTGCGGGGTGGACATTGGGCAGTGTGACAGTGAGGACGTTGGGTCCCCAAGAGGGGTGGATTGTGAGATCCCACATCAGTTGGAGAGGGAAACGAAGCATTCTTTATAAGGGTGTGGAAACCTCTCCTAGTAGACGCGTTTTAGAAACTTTGAGAGAAAACCCAAAAAGGACAATATCTGCTAGTGGTAGACTTGGGCTGTTACAAATGGTACAGAACTAAGCACCAGAGTGCAAGGCACTGGTCGGAGTAGGACTAAACCCTCTCCATAGTAGACACGTTTTAGAACCGTGAGACTCACGACAATACGTAACGGGCCAAAGCGGACACTATCTGCTAGTGGACTTGGGATGTTACAAACATTTTCTCTCTTCTATTCTTTGTATCCATCTAGATCGAGTGTGTGCGTTGTTGTGCGATCCTAACAATTTGGTGAGCTTAACTTGCTTCCTGCAACTCTCTTTTCCTCAGGTATCCTAACGATAGTTACGATCGGATATGGTCGCACTCGGCTGCAACTCGCTCGCAAATCATAACATCTTCTAACCATTCGATTATGTCAAATGTATTTGCAGTTCCATCTATTGTCATGGCAACTGCAGTTACACCAAAAAATCCCAATCAGTCCCTGAACTTTACGTGGAATATCGGTAACGAATCGAAGTCCTATATATACATGCACTTCACAGATTTCAAAAAGACAGGAAAAGGGAAGTTTAGAGCTATGAACATCTTCATCAATGGATCATATTGGTATGGACCTTTGGTTCCTGAATATTTATCAGATGTCACACTGTATAGCACTGGTATCATCAATGTTCCAAATGGGGGCAAGCTTGATATCTCCATCCAAAGAAATGATAGCTCAAGCCTTCCACCCATAATCAATGCCATTGAGATATATATACTAAAGCAGTTCCCACAGGTTCAAACAAACCAAGCTGAAAGTATGATTCCTCACAACCTACTATGCATCATATATTTCGATACTCGTGTTCATAACAAGTTCATCATTATCATTCTGATTCATTTTGATACCAGTCGAGGCACTGCTGAACGTAAAATCATCGTACAAATTGACGAAAAACTGGCAAGGAGATCCTTGTTACCCTGAAAAGTACTTATGGGAGGGTCTGAATTGCAGCTACAACAATAGTAGCCGCCCAACAAATATCATATCTCTGTAAGTTCTTATCCATATTCAAAACTGGAAAAACTTGTTAATTTGCTCAAACTTTTCTTTGAAGAAGTTTATGAAATCAGGAACTTATCATTGAATGAATTGGCTGGGGAAATTTCTTCTCATATATCAAATCTTACGATGATTCAATGCCTGTAAGTATCTCATTATCATCATGTTTACCATTCAAGATAGCATATAACAAAGCAATTGATTTGCCTTATTCAGGGATTTGTCCAACAATCATTTGAATGGCACGGTTCCCGAGTTTCTAGCTACACTGCCATTCTTGAGAGTTCTGTAAGTTGCTTGCATCTGATCTAAGTCGTCTTCTGGTAATGAGTTTATTATGACACCATTTTTGTAACGGCCTGGGCCCACCGCTAGCGGATATTGTCCTCTTTGGGCTTACCCTCAAGGTTTTTAAAACGTGTCTGCTAAGGAGAGGTTTTTACACCCTTATAAGAGTTGTTTCGTTCTCCTCCCTAATTGATGTGGGATCTCACAATCCACCCCCCTTTAGGGCCCAGCGTCTTTGCTGACACTCGTTCTTTTCTCCAATCGATTTGGGACCCCCACCAAATCCACCCCCCTTCGGGGCCCAACGTCCTTACTGGCACACCGCCTCGTGTCTACCTCCTTTGGGGAACAACCTCCTCGCTGGCACATCGCCCAATGTCTGGCTCTGATACCATTTGTAATGGTCTAGGCTCACTGCTAGCAGATAATGTCCTCTTTGAGCTTTCCCCTCAAGGTTTTTAAAATACGTCTGCTAGAGGGAGGTTTCCACACCTTTATAAAGGGTGGTGTTTCGTTCTCCTCCCCAACCGATGTGGGATCTCAAAATCCACCCTCCTTCAGGGCCCAACGTCCTTCCTGACACTCGTTCCTTTCTCCAATCGATGTGAGACCCCCACCAAATCCACCCTCCTTCAGAGCCCAGCGTTTTTACTGGCACACCACCACGTGTCTCCCCCCTTCGGGGAATAGCCTCCTCACTAGTACATCGCCCGGTGTCTGGTTTTAATACAATTTTGTAATGGCCCAGGCTCACCGCTAGTAGATATTGTCTTCTTTGGGCTTTCCCTTTCGTGCTTCCCCCTCAAGGTTTTTAAAACACGTCAGCTAGGGAGAGCTTTCCACACCCGTACTTATAAAGGGTGTTCCGTTCTCCTCCCCAACCGATGTAAGATCTCACAATTTTTCATCTGAATTTGTAGAAACCTAGAAAACAATAATCTCTCCGGGATAGTTCCACCAGCACTATTCGAAAGAACAAAGAACAAAACCTTATCATTGAGGTAACAACAACTCAACACGATCCAAACCTTTAGACGTTATGTCACAACAATATTCGGAATCGTCTCACTTCCTGTTATTCATTGTGAAGTGTCGAAGGCAATCCAAATCTTTGCCTATCAGAACCCTGCAATAAAGAGAAGAACAAGAAGTATGTGGTTCCATTAGCAGCATCACTTGGTGGAGTCGCATTAGTATTGTTAACCGGTGGTGCGATCTTTTGGAGCCAAAAACGACGAAAGAAGCGAGGTATTGCACACGTAATGATCTTGTTTTTCATGGTTAGATGCATTCATTTTAACTGTGGGGAGTACTAATTCCTTGTGCAGAAAAGCAGCTCTTTGGAAGTAGCAACCAAGGCAAGACATTACTAATGCCAGTGAATACGAAGTTTAGCTATTCAGAGATTTTGAGTATAACAAACAACTTTGAGAGGGTAATAGGGAAGGGAGGATTTGGAACAGTTTATCATGGTTACTTGCATAGCAGCCAAGTTTCTGTGAAAATGTTGTCCCCTGCATCAGTTCAATGTTACAAGCACTTTCAGGAAGAGGTAAGCAATAGCATATTTAGTTCTTATTATATATGATATATCAGGCAACTGAACAATCATCCTGAATCTTGCTATGGTCACACGCACTAAGCACGTGTTTGAGGGGGGTTTTACGCGTTTAAATGCGCGTCCTAAAACCTAACCTCACCGCTAGCAGATATTGTCCTCTTTGCACTTTTCCTTTCGGGCTTCCCCTCAAGATTTTTAAAACGTGTCTACTAGGGAGAGGTTTCCACACCCTTATAAAGAATGTTTCATTCTCCTCTCCAACCGACGTTGGATCTCACAATCCACCCCCCCCCCCCCCCCCC